TCCAATCAGACTGCCAGCTTCACTTCCCCTGGGGTTCTAGCTCAGTGTTGAAACTACAAGATTGGAACACAACTTTAGCCCTGACCAGCTGAGAAGAGTACTCAGTCTTATTATGGGGATTCTCTGCAGACACTGCACTATGACAGAAAACTGACACACACAAAAGGCACTCCTTAAGAGTTTTCCTTTAGCCTCCTTGAATTCCTACCACAAACTTTAAGGTGTTTAAATGGAGCCTCACATACAATCGTCATGACTACAAAAGCACCATCTTCCTCCCAACAGAGCTTGTAATTCAATTCCTGCAGGATCTGGCACTGTAGCATTGAAATCCATCAAACCAAGTCCCCACTGAGAACAATTGCTGAGACCCTATTAAGGGAACAGATTAAAGAGAACCAGATACCTGCTCAGGTGCGAGAGATATGAACCTCAATAACCAAATGATGGTTTTATGGATGCCAGCTCCAATACCAGCTTCTGCCATTTTGGTGCTACCCAGTGCTGTGTGTGTTAAGGCCTCTTTTAGCAACCCAGGCTCATTAGCACCCGCAAGCAAGGCCACAGCTATACACGTTGTGGAATGATGTGCACAGCACATTCCTGACAGCATCAATATTGTCATGCTAGTGCACAGACAGAAGGAAGAGCCATACTGGCTTCAGCTGCTCTGGTCTCAAGTTAATTCTTGCCAAAGAAAGGGAGTCAAGTGCACGATCAAGTGACCAGCCCTGCAACAGGCAATTAATACTGACCCTGTTAACCTAGTTAGAGTCAGTAAGCAGCAGTCTGACCCAGTTCACTCCCCCTGCACTCAAATGTCATGAAAGTTTCCATTAAGGATGTGAATGGGTAACAGTTAGTGTTACCGGGGAGCAGGCAGGAGGCTGCTCCAGCCCCACAGGGCTGCCGACTCCCAGCTCACGCAGGCTGGAAGCTGGCAGCCAAGTGTGAGGCCACTTCCTGTGGGGCAGACCCCCAGCCCTTGCAAGCTGGGAGCTGGCTGCTCAGCATGGGGTCAGAAACAGCCATTCTGGAGCAGCCCCTGCCTGTGGCGCAGGGACCACTGGAGCCTGCTGCCCACCCCTGCCAGTTAAACTTAACATTTAACTGGTTAATTAGACAGGATTTTACATCCCTCATTTCCACAGCTCCAGTAACATGTCTAAGTCACCTAAGCGTGGTCCATTTTGGCCTGTCAACACTGCAGCCCTATAGCTGTAGAATTACACTGCTTGGTGGGATGACAAGTCCACAGCCCTGAGCCACAGCCCCCCCCACCCCCCACCCCCGAGCAGCAAGTGCTCTGTCCACAGGAGAGCTTCTCCAGCCACCTCTGCCGGAGGCTGATCAAGCACCTGCCTAGGGCAGTCTTCAGGTAATGCTGCCTAGACACAGCTGCGCTGCAGAAGGGCAGACCTGCCCACAGTGCTCTGTTTCCTGATCACCCCTCTCTTCACAGAATGGCCTCTAGGTGGTTCCCCCTTTCACCTCTTAGCAGCTAGAATGGAGAAGGGTGGGGCAGAAGCCCTGGAGACCAAGGACTGGGAATTGCTGCAAGGCAGCAACAGACTAGAGGGCAAAGAGGCACACAGGAGGGTGGAGAGAGAAAAGGGACTGCAATAAAAGTGGCTGAAGAGCAGGATAGTGGAAGGAACTTCTCTACTAGTTGAGCAGGATAGTAAATACTAACCAAGTTCAGTTATTCCATGAAGACCAGACTCCACTCTTGATCTCTATGAACAATTCCCATACCTGTTATGGGATTGAGCAGGCTTGAAATTCTACATTCACACCCAAGCACAAACCATAGCTAAGCTGAACTTGCTCTTTCATTTAACACCCATTTTCAGTTGCTCTAACCAAGTGCTCAATGCCATTTCCTAGGACAGCAGAGATAGGCCAGAAGAGACTTCTGTCAGCATCAGGATGCACTTATTGCACAGATCAATCTTGTCTGCTAGCCAAGAAGCCACGGTAGACAGCTAGCAAGATGCTGAACCCCTCTGACCATTACTGATTAGGGGAGACTAGAACTGCCTATGCACAGCAGCTCTGGAAAACCGCCTCTAAGCCAGGTTCAATCCAACCTCACAGCTAGTTGGGCATAACAAATCTGCATGTTTTGTTTGATGGAAACTTACAATAATTGGCATTTAACATTCCTCAGGATTTTTGAGACCTAGGATTTCCTTGATACAGGTATCTAAGATACCTAAGGAAGAACCCTTAGACTACAGGCCACTTTGAAAGGAAGTGCAAGGAAGTGCTAGGTGGCTTCAAAGAGAGCCAGATGCAAGGAAACAGGTTTGCTAAGTAGTGATGAGGAGCAGAACAGATCAGGAAAAGGAAACAAATTTGTCCAATGTTCCTAATTTAAGAGAAATCTAGGAAGAAGCTGAAGTTGAAAGCAGCCACAGGAGAGATCATGGCCAGGATACCTCAGGGCAGTGTCTTGACCTTTCCAAATTATTGGTCCCCTTTCAGGAGTCTGATTTGTCTTGTATACCCCAAGTCTCACCTCACGTAAGAGCTGCTTACTTTTAAAAGCGAGACAAAAATATCACAGCATACAAATCAATATAAACAAGTCACTGGCTGTATGAAATTCAAATTTGCACTTACCTTGCCCATGCTTTTTATGTAGCCTGAGGTAAAATGAGGCATATAGCTAAACATTTAATAGAATCATAGGACTGGAAGGGACCTCGAGAGGTCGAGTCCAGCCCCCCGCCCTCAAGGCAGGACCAAGCTCTGTCTACACCATCCCTGACAGATGTCTATCTAACCTGTTCTTAAATATCTCCAGAGAGGGAGATTCCACCACCTCCCTTGGCAATTTATTCCAATATTTGACCACCCTGACAGTTAGGAATTTTTTCCTAATGTCCAATTTAAGCCTCCCTTGCTGCACTTTAAGCCCATTACTCCTTGTCCTGTCCTCAGAAACCAAGAGGAACAAATTTTCTCCTTCCTCTTTGTGACACCCTTTAGATATTTAAAACCGCTATCATGTGCCCCCTTAATCTTCTTTTTTCCAAACTAAACAAGCCCAGTTCATGAAGCCTGGCTTCATAGGTCATGTTCTCTAGACCTTTAATCATTCTTGTCGCTCTCCTCTGTACCCTTTCCAATTTCTCCACATCTTTCTTGAAATGTGGCGCCCAGAACTGGACACAGTACTCCAGCTGAGGCCTAACTAGTGCAGAATAGAGCAGCAGAATGACTTCACGAGTTTTGCTTACAACACACCTGTTGATACAACCTAGAATCATATTTGCTTTTTTTGCAGCAGCACCACCCTGTTGACTCATATTCAACTTGTGGTCCACTATGACCCCTAGATCCCTTTCCGCCATGCTCCTTCCTAGACAGTCGCTTCCCATCTTGTATGTATGGAACTGATTGTTCCTTCCTAAGTGGAGCACTTTGCATTTCTCTTTATTAAACTACCTCCTGAAAGATCTCTGCATACCCCCAGTTGAGAACCACTGGCTCAGGAAATGCCACAGTAGTAGCTATTTCACTGCAGCATAGATGCTTATTACAGCCTTAAAGTTCCCTCTGAGAGGCAGCAACTGGTTGATAGAAGAACACTTTTCAGCCCAGCAAGGTCTACACCAGGTCATCTTGACCACATCTCAAGGACGACAGTTTCAAAGACACCCCTGTGCAACACTGCTATATCGGCCTGATTTGGTAGGGTAGCCCCCAGCGGTGGTAGCAAAGAGGAAGTAGTTCTAAGAGCGGACACCCACTGGAACCAAGTCAAGTTGAGGCCTCTGAAGCTCCCCTCCAGCGCTTCCAGCCCTGACTACCCAGCAGACACGACAGCAGGACAGCTACAGCACTGTGCACCGTAGTGCTGGCACTTCCTACAGAAATGGAAGATATTCCTTCACAGCCAGGGGCTTGTTTGCGCCTAAAGCATTACAGCTGCGCCAGCCTAAACCCATCTATTGGCATAGGGCAGGCAATCCACCTCCCCAAGAGAGGGTAGCTAGTTGGGATGTTAAAAGACATTTATTTGTCCTAGTCTGAGAGTCTCTCCAGCTGCTGCAGCAGGCATCTGACCCATCCCATTATGGACTATCACTACTAACTCAGTGTTTAAACGCTGCATTATGGCATTACAGCCACTTCAGACAAAACTCCCAGTGTCATCTAATGCCTTAAGTTATCCACCTTATCTAATACAAATAAGCTGTGCTATAATTAGAGTGCTATATTGCATCACCACAGACAACTGGGCAGCAATCAGGTAGCTGAAAAATGGCTGGCAAGTTCCTGCGTGCAGCATAGGTACAAGTGTAAACGCTGCATTATGGCATTACAGCCACTTCAGACAAAACTCCCAGTGTCATCTAATGCCTTAAGTTATCCACCTTATCTAATACAAATAAGCTGTGCTATAATTAGAGTGCTATATTGCATCACCACAGACAACTGGGCAGCAATCAGGTAGCTGAAAAATGGCTGGCAAGTTCCTGCGTGCAGCATAGGTACAAGTGCTGGGGATCACAGACACCTGTGGTTCCTCTGCAGCACCATTCACCAAAGCAGAGGAGCGCCGACAAGTTAGGATTCAGTTCGCAGCAGTACAGCACACTGGCACATCACTGAAGCTGCTCCCTAGCTGTTGCTGGGCATAGCTAGATGTGATGGCTGCAAGCAAAGCATCAAAAAGCAAGTATAACAGCTGTAGAAACATCTGCACAGTTCTTCAGGCAGACTGCAACAATAGCCACCAGAGGTCTGAAGAGCCCCATTCATCACAACGAGGGGGTTAAACCAGACACGAAATGATAATTTAATTCTCAAGGTTGTTAGGCATTTCATGCCTCATCAGTAGCGTGGGGATCAGAAATTGGCAGTTTACTGAAGCAGCACCTAAGGAAGGTCACAAGTAGGGGACATTTTCATGCCCCCTAGCCACTTCCCTACCCCACTGCCAGTTAAGCAGCCAATCACAACTCAGCCTTCAACTGCTTTTGGCCCACCTGCACAAACTCCGTGCTGGAGACAAGAGCCGGGAAGATGAGCAGCCTCTATCTGCCCCACACGCCATCGGTGGCACGGGCACAGGCGGGACACCGGGACCCTGCGCACCAGTGCAAGGCTGAGCTTGCACAGGGCAGTGCCTCCCAGCCAGGAGCCAGGCAGCAAGACCCAGACGTGCAGGGGCCCAAGGCGGGGAACTGCTGCCAGGCCCCCCCGCAACGCGGAGAGCCGGGAAGATGAGCAGCCTCTATCTGCCCCACACGCCATCGGTGGCACGGGCACAGGCGGGACACCGGGACCCTGCGCACCAGTGCAAGGCTGAGCTTGCACAGGGCAGTGCCTCCCAGCCAGGAGCCAGGCAGCAAGACCCAGACGTGCAGGGGCCCAAGGCGGGGAACTGCTGCCAGGCCCCCCCGCAACGCGGCTTTAGG